TTTAACCTTTAAAAAATAGGCGCATGAAGTAGAATTCAAACTCCAAACCTCTTGGATCCCTTCCACCCGCTACCACCAACTGGGACAGCTCACTTGTTGTGCCTAATTACTTCTTTTATTCATCTTGTTGTGCATCCTTTCAGTCTGGTTTCCTTTTTCTTTTTTTGTTTTGTTTGCTCTTATTTTTTGGTTTTATTTTTCTTTATTTTTTCTTGTTTTAATATTTTCTTTTTCATTTTCTTAAATTTTTGAATATTTTCTAAAATTCATGAAAAAATTTCAAATCCGTAAACTTATTTTTTTAAACCATGATTTTTTAAATGAATAAATATTTTTCAATTTTGTAAACTTTTATCAAATACATGAACTTTTTTATCTAACTAATGAACTTTTTAAAATCGATGAACTTTTTTAGTTTCACAAACTTTTTCCAAATTCATGAATTTTGTTGTCAATTTCGCTAACTTCTTTGTCAAATTCATGAAAAAATCAAATCGATGAACTTTTTAATTTCATGAATTTATTTGTCACACTTGTGTACTTTTGCTAATTGATGAAATGATTTTTAAACTTGTAAAGTTTTCTTTAATCTCAGTGTGGTTGTCAAGGTGGTAATAGGGTCAGGTTTAGTCGGGTCGACCTCAATCAAGCCCATGCTCGAATACACAATCGGGTGCATCGCCTGCCCACGGCCGTACCCATGGGTCTTAACGACCCATGCCTGAACCCACCAGGGCACCGGACCCGAGTGGGCAGTGGGCACCCATCGGATCAGTGCAACAAGGATTATTTTTCCTTTATTTTGTCCCAAAAGAAGACACACAGACGACTACTTTGCTGCTCCGTTGTGGTTTTCTTATATAGGCATCCACCCCATCATTTTGTACTACCATGAGCGAGGTGGTAATAACCTCATCAGGACTACTTTTTTTAGGATTAAGCCAAGTCTTTCTTCATCAAATTCCACAAAGTGTGAGATACAAATTAAGTCGTGAGGTTGGTCAAACCAGACATAACGCCCATGCTCGAGACTAACAACAACACGACTTTTGAAAGTAAAATTACAAGTATAAAATGACACTTGAAGTTTGATTTCATTGATGATAGCTCCATAGCTTCCCTTTAAACCTTTCATGATGTCATTCACTGATTGCTGGGAGTCGGAAGCTATAAAAAAAATTCTATAGATGCAGGTCCGTCGCTAGCGTCAGTGCCTCCCTGCATGTGATCACCTCAAGAGTAGCAGGGTCATGTAATCCATCGATTACTACACCTGAACTCCCCAAATAGTTTCCTCCACTATCTTTGCACATTGCTACAGTCGTACCACTTATGCGATCCATCTTAATTCCAATATTATTTTTATTTACTCCAAAATAATTCTTCAAAAATCATCGTTTAATTTCGAGAACTCTAATTTCCGTTTAAAAACAACACCATGATAGTTCTGTTGAAAATAACATCAGTCCGGACTACTTTAACTCAAACCACGCAAATTAGAGGCAACTCCAAGAGCAAAAGTGTTTGAAAAAGTGGATATATTGGAGACGTATCAACTCCCCCAAGATTAACTTATTGCTTGTCCTCAAGCAATTCAGTTGAGAAACTGAAAGTGATAAAGAAAACTTTTACAAACTCATTTGCTCTTGTAGATGTACATAAACATAGCTAGTGATCAGATTTCAACAAAGATGAGAGTAACCATCTGTATGATAACAATTAGAAGCCACATTTACTCATATCAATAACAGAACCAACTAGTGAGCAACAATACTATATCTATTTTATGAATTATCCCCAAAGGTGTTACCACGAATAAGAATACATATGGGAATACCAAAAAACAACGGACAAACTAACAAACAGAGATAACTACCCCTAGATCACGGCAAGTGCTTGTTCATAATGGACACACTTAGACACGACCATGGTGCTGAAAAAGGTCAAGTGCGACAATTGGTTTGGGTCGTGAGGGGAGAGCAATGCGGAGCAACAACACGATAAATGTCGGCATCACTCCGCCGAGGCGCATCCTTTCGTGACAACTTCGCTGCACATATGGACCCGATAAAATCGAGAAATCGGTTAGGTCTGAGCCTTCTTTGTTGTAGGTCCTTGTGATGGGTGGATTCGAAGTCGGGTCCTTCGCCTCACTTTGATGCCATCGGTGGGAGGCTGTTGCCAGTGTCTCGCATGGGAGGCTGCTGTCAGCGTTGGTAGACCAACATGTATTGCTGCCAGAATTTTGGATAATATTTAATTGTATAAAACATGAGTTTTTGGATTAAAAATATGAGAACTGAAACTGAAAATACATATGATTTATTGTATTTGATTATTGTGTAATATAAAAAGTTATTGAATCTAAGTGGTATAATCATTTTGATATGTATGCTTGCATGTTAGGTGAGCTTTTCCCCATGCATGGTTGTACATTGATGTTTGCATGCTGAGAGGAATATGTTAGTGCTGATAATCTATTTACTTAAATAGGATATGTCAAGTTCTCCCCTTTGCCCCTCCCTCGCCCTTCCTTGCCTCTACCGTGCCTTTGGAACCGTTAATTAGTCATCCCCCCTTGCCCCCTGCGGCTTCACCACATTGTCTGGAGTGGCCCCTCTGGTGCTCATACCATGAGTCCCATCAATTCATAATTCGAGGTCAAACTTTCCTTTTAGGTCACTTTTAGAAGTTATAGTTCCAAATTTTGAGAATCCTGAGCCAAACTTTCAGAACTTTGAACGTCTGGAAAATGTGAAAACCTTCAAAATTTTCTCATTCAAAAGTTTAACAATTTTTAGAATTTTTCAAAATTCAAAATTTTCGTAGCATTCAAAAATAGGAAATTTTCGAACTTCCTAAAAAAACATCTTCTCGGAATTTTGGAACTTCATTTTTTTGGAATTTTGATGAATGAAAAATAAAGTGAAAATTTGTGTTGCATGTGCAGGCCCTACTAGG